ACTTAGTTTTTATGTGATGGAAAGAAGAGTGGTATTGGAAATTAGACTAAAAATAGTAAAAAGATTAGACGGAAGCGAAACGACAAATGAAATTTAGAGTCGAATGGTAAAACAGGCTGCTTCTGGTCCTTATTAAGTGACGGCCCAATTCAACAAAATGGATCCAATATTTCTCCATAGAATAATCCGATCCAATCAGAAGTCCATACGAACAAAGGCCTCATTCAATCACATAATGTCCTTTCTGGAATTTTCCTTTTTTTTTTTTTTCTTTTTATGGATCACCCGATATCCAGAAACCCACTGGGTCACTTACTAAATCCGGATTTAAGTCGGGCAAAACCAAATGAGTAGCAAAACTCTCCTTCACGAGTTTTAATGAAGATCTTTTTTCAATATATTTGAAATCAAGACTTCAGGTTAAATTGAAAAAGTTCCATGCCGACTCATCCACCCGCTTGTGGATTTTTTTTTTTTTTAACAGAGGAAAATGTGGAGGATGAGAAAATTAAAGAAAATAAAAAAAATTAAAAGAAACAACTCCAAATTGATTTCTATTTGGTTATCACTAGTACTGAATTTTATTGATTAATTAAAATATACTTAAGGAACAAATCCAATTTAATTTCAATCAGGTGATCTTCTTTTCTCCAGCAAATCAAAGTAGATGATATCATTGGAAATTGAATTACTCATATTAGCCATGAGTTTAATGTTTGATATATCAAGATACGAAATAAAACATAATGATTTGATATTAAAGAACTTGGTGCATATAATACTATGCTTAAGTCAATGAGAAAAAGTCAATCATATAATGGTAATTCTATGATTATAATGTCATATAAGATTATAAATTTACAAATTTACATGACATTACAATTCTACATGATGTTAAATAAATATGATGTAATATTTAACGAGTAAATTCATATAATATTACTTGTAAACTCATGAATAAAAAAAATTAATTATATAAGGATACTTCATGGTGCAAGTTGGCAATTCCACATGGTATTGTAAGTATATCATTTCCATTTTTTAGGTTACACAATAAGAGATATTTTTTTTCATCTCTTAACTCACATGTATACCGTGTAACTTGAACCTAAAACTTTTTAATTTTAACAAAAAGAGATTATCATTGAGTTATTTAATTTATTGGCATAAATATATCATTTTCAATCATATAATAACATATCAAAATTACAAATTTACAAATTATGTAACATTGTAACTACTAGTTGGATAACCCCACACGTTGCAGGGTGTGATATTAGGTGTAATTTTGAATGGACCAATTTTAATGTATGCATAGATATTATGATTTGTAAAGTGTCAATCAATATAACATATGTTGTAGTTCTAAAGCTCTTACAAAAATAATAATTCATAGATTCGGATAGAGAACAGAAAATTTTGTACAAGGCTTTTAGATTTCATGAATTTTTATCTTTCTAGTTTTGTAAAGAAAAAAAAAAGTAAAAAAGAGAAAACAATAGATGAAATAATGAGAGAAGATGAATGGCTCAACTAAATATACAATAATTGCCATAATTAAGTCATCACATATTCAAGGTCAAAGCTTAGAACTTTCAATCATACACAATCAAATTGCTCAATTGAGTTGAGTATCCAATATGATGCAATTCTTACATAAAATTCCCATGTCTTCCAAAACAAATTTCCACATTGCATAAAGCATATCAACCACAGACTCATAAAACAGTATCAAGGCTAAATAGTGAAGCCCATTTTGTTAGTGTATCTCGAGTGTTTCCTTCATTTATTAGGTATGTCAAATGTAAAATAGCTATAGTAACAAACTGAACAAATTGAAATAAATTCTACTTGACTTTGTTTGTGGCTCCTTTCATGAATATATGTAATCACTATAAATTAAACAAAATGCTACTTGACTCTACGCACTGTTCTTTTCATGAATATATTTAACGATAAAAAGCCATTACTTAACTGTTATGTGTCACGTTAATCATGAAACACATTATTTATTTTTGTATGAAAGGATTAACTTGGGATCAAATTGGTAAGCAATAGTGATCAAATTAGGGTTTTTTTAATTTAAGAACTAAATCGAAAGTTCGTATAATAGCTGAGAGACCAAATTCGAGGTTTTAACCAAATAAAAAAGTTGGATGAAACATAAGAAAGGATTTGAGTAAGAAAAGATCATATCAGAAATGAAAAAAGAAAGCTAACCTCTAGCAAGCACAAATGGAAGATGACAATTCATATTTTTAATCCCACCATATGACTAAAAATGACAAACCCAAAGAGCCAAAATTACTTGGCGTCAGCAAGAGCAGATGCAGTAGTATGGCAAACTTTGAAGAATGCACCTTGAGCCCCAAATCGTAGAGCTTTAAAAGATCTAGAATTAAATCCCTGAACAGATTTCAGGTCATTATCTAGTATGCAGCCATCCCCGTGTCTTATTACAATCAAGAGGGAACTAAAGTAAAATAACAAAAACAAGTAAATTGCGTATTATGGGTAAAACAACCAAAACAAAGAAATAACATATTACAATCAAGTAAAAGAACAAAGACAAAGAAATCACATATTACGGCCACCATAATAACACGAATACACCCAAATGCAGAAACTATAATAAAACAATGTGCAAAAGAATCCAAAGGGAAACAATTAGAGTTAGAAACCAAAGGTAAAACGCAATCACAGACATACCAAATCGAACAAAAAAAGATCGATCGACCAACCAATTCCAACAAGAGAGATGCCAACCCAACACACAGATCCAACAATAACTAAGATGATCGAAATCCCACAAGCTTGAACCAAAGAGAAAATGATAAATAAAAGACTAAAAAAAATTAAAAAAGAAAAAACTCTCACCATGCCATTGCTGGAGATTCAGTCACCGGATCCTTGCCTCATTCCTCCCAACAGCACCCTCTCACATGCTTCTAAGTTTCCCATTTTTCCAATGGATCTCAATTAGATTTGCCTCATGCCTACCATCAGTGAAAACCCATAAAAGGTAGTAATCTCTTCCCTTTGAGTCTCGACCGGCACTCTTATATTCTGTCCTCCTCTTTCTCAACCTCTTTCAAACTAGCGACAGATCTTCATCCATCTCCCTATTCTTACCGCTGAAGGTGGAGCATCTTGCCACAACTTTAATGTCACTTTGCTCAGGTGCACAGACCTCATTGAGCTTTCCTTGTCCCTCTCTCTCTCCCTCTCTCGGGCCTACAAATTCTATCACTGCTCTTGTTCTTTTGGTGCAGAGTTAGTGCAAGATTTCTACGACCACAAAATCCTTATCTTAAAATCTAGCTCAAACTTTTCTCTTCCATGATTGACGACCAAAGATTATATTTTCGAAGATCAAATCTGTTGGGATAGGCCCAACAGGCCCAACACCCAAACAGGGCTGTGGGAAATGGGCCTAGGTTACCACCCATCAGCCTAAACTGAAGGAACATCAGTGCAAGCATACCCACGTGACCAATGCCACGCGGGTCAAGGGGAAGCTTACACGTGCAGATGTATGTCAGTGCCAAGGGGCTATAAATACCCCCCAACTACCTCCGATGAAGGTAATTAATCTCTACGCTTCTCTCTCTGCAATTACTCCTTGGGAGCTTCTCTCTCTAGAACATTGAGTATTGCTGACTTGAGCGTTGGAGTGTGTTTTCCCCGAGGAAACAACCTCGGGATTTTCAGGTGTGGAAGCAGCTAAGGACTTCAACAGTGTTGGACTGCGAAGCTGCTGAAACATTGGCGCCGTCTGTGGGAACTCGAACAAGGAGTCGTGTGACTTAACCTGCTGAGAGACAAAATGGTTCGTACCTTTACAGGAGATCGCCCTCCAAGAAATGAAGTGGACGAACAGGAGGACATACAAGTATCTGAGCCTGGGTTGAATGACGTTAGGCCAATGCCTAAAAATCTTTTTGTAGGGGGAGCCAAACAGGATCACCTGAGTGAGATAGATGATGAAAGAACACCGACTGGGTATGCAACCCAGCCTGAACAGTTCCAAGTTCCAACAGGGACAAGACGAAGACCTTCTAGACCGCACAATTCGCAGCATGAACGACCTGAAAGGTCAACAGAACCTGCTCGGACAACCGAGCTCGAGGAGAGAACTAGAGTTCTCGAAATGGCAATGGGTAAAATCCTTGCCCGCCTGATCCTAGATGACCCCCTGATTCCTTTGCTGAACAGGGATGCACAACCAGCTGCGGTTGTGGCAACTAGAAACTCCCCTGCTCTAAGCAATATAGTAGTGCCGACCAGGCCTAGGGGAAGTGGGAAATTGAATATCGAGCCCAGCTCGTCCAAATATAGTGAAGAATTGATGAGAAAGAACGCAGACCTCGAAAGGCAACTGCGGGATGTACAGAAATCCATTGACGAGCTGAAAAGCCCCAGGTCGCACCAACAGACCTTAGATTTGGATAGTGCTCCGTTGAACCTATCCATCACCGCAGAACCGTATCAAGAGGGATTCAAAATTCCCCACTTAGAGACATATGATGGCACGAAAGACCCGGATGAACATCTACACACCTATCAAGCCATCATGAGGATTCAAAACGCCAATGATGCCATGATGTGCAAAGTATTCCCGGCGACACTGAAATCAACAGCCAGAAGATGGTATCACAAACTCCCCAGACATTCAATAGATTCATTTTCCCAGCTCGCCAAGCTGTTCTCAAACAAATTTGCGAGCCAAAGGGAGATCAAGCGCACAGCAACCGAGCTGATGCAAGTTAACCAGAAGGAAAGGGAGTCCTTGAGGGATTACATGCAGCGGTTCAACAAAGCCACATTGGACATTGATAATGTCCCAGACACGATCTGCCTGTCCGCCCTGTTACACGGGTTGAAGCGTGGCCGGTTCCTTGACGACCTGCTTGAAAACCCACCGAAGACGTGGAACGAGGTGAATGACAGGTCGGCCAGCTTTATACTGTCAGAGGACTTTCAGTCGTCCAAGCGACGAGTTGATGATAAGCCGAGCAGAGGCCAGGAGCAACAACCGAGAAGAGAAGAAAAGAAGAAGCAGAAGGTCAGTGAGCAATGGGGGAAACCAGCTGAGTTCTTGAAATATGCCAGTTACATTCCGCTGACCTTACCTAGGTCTCAAATCCTGGCACAAATTCAGCACTGGGTTCGGAGACCTCCACCCCCACTACATGATTCTCCGAGGGCAGATAAGAGCAAGCATTGTGACTACCACCGTGTATATGGTCACAATACAGAGGACTGCCAGCACTTGAAGGACGAGTTAGAGTTTTTGGCTCGTAAC